ACAGGATAGAACCTAATTATTTCATAATAAAACCTACCAGCACTTTCTGTGCTTATCAGATCACACACACAACTTCTAAAGAACTGTATCTGGTCACAAACAATTCTTGTCAATATGGCAACTTTTTCCCAGACATCCATTTGGGAGGGGAAAGAATTGTGTGGGGACAGGGAATGGGTGTTTCATGCTGGCTTTTCTTTTCTATGCCATAAAAAAGGACAGAAACGATACCTCCCTAGACATGCAGCAGCATGCTCTGTTACAGAGTCAGGCTGACTGCATGCCCTTACAAAGGTCTCCTTCAGCTGCTCATGGCTCATTTCTTCTCCAGCATTTTCTTTGTCATTTCCCTGTCCCTGAGCAAATAAGTGTGTTGATCCGAGTTTACAGAGACCAGTTATTAATGTGCTCCTGGAACAGCTTGCACTGGACAGGCTTTTGATGACTTTCTCAAAGAAATCAATGCTTATGCTTTTATCCTTGCACTCACCTGCAAGCAGAGGAGGAAGGGAGGAGGCCCACACTCAGCACACTTCACGTAGGGCTCTGTGAGGTACGATGAGCAACCTCGGCATGGAGGCTTATCAAAAGGGTCATCTGTGAACCCAGAAATAAACCTTATGCAACACAAACACTGCAGTTTTGCAGTCACCTAAATTCACTTGTGCCCAGTCATCCTAAGGGAAATCACATAACCTCTGTGAGTGGACTCAAAGGGAAGTCTCTGTATCAGACCCCTGGTACAAGTCATCGAGCTGTGCTAGCTGGTTGATTTGATCCAGTACATCAAAGACCAGACCCAAGATCTTATGTGCAGAGAATACTGCACAGACAGCTGCAATCTCCCATCCACGTCCCTCAAGTACCTCTTAAGAGCACACTGCTGTGGCTGCACAGGCATCACAGGATTGTTCTGTTCTGTAACCTGGCCAAACCTCAGGCTCGGCTCAAATTCCTGAACCAGGAACGAAGCATTGCTCTGCAAGTTGTTTCGTTCATGGCAAAACAGTCAAAACAGACTGTCAAGTTATAAGGCACATTTTACCCAAGAAAATGGATTTGAACCAGCCCAACTATAAAAAGTGGATACAAAAAAAGACCTGAATTCTCACTGCATCATTCATGTACTCGTGCTCTTGAGAACAGGATCAAAGAAGTGACCCTGTGGACCAGACACCACTACTTTTCTGTCTCCTTCCCCCAGACAGCTGCTAATGCCTTTGAGCAACAGCAAACTCTTTCCAAATGTCATCTTATGGTACTTACTACCGAAGGAGGCCAGGCGCTCCATTGCTCTGCCTCGGTAGTGTTCTTACTCCTCTGAGTAAAACCCGTCTTGCCTAAAAGCCCACAACATAAGCCCTGCCCCAGCCAGGACGTGCAGGAAGGGTATTCTCTCCTGCAGACGTCCTCTCACACAGCCCTCACAGATGAGATCCTCCCAGGGCGTCCTGAAGCAAAGGGCTGTCAGCAGTCTTCTTAAGAGGGACCATCTGACGTGGCTGACGGTGTTTTCTGTGCATAAGAAGAAATCAAATCCAAGGTAAGAAGAGATGTGGTGTGGATATAAACCAATCCCAAACTGAGGCTTTTGGTGGGAATGCGCTGAGCAGGAAGTTATGAACAGCTGTTGTGCAAGAAGGTGGTCTGCACCTCTAAGAAGTACCAAGAACAGGTTAGAGGTGGCACAGACACAGCAGAGCAGAACTCAAGCGTGTTCATGTCGACTACGTTTTCAGTGTTCAGTGTTCTAGCTTCTATGAACAGGCCTGATTGAACAGCACTTGTACAGTGATGTTCTACACTGCTGCACACCACCGGGGAGCAGAGCTGTGTTACACCGTGGGCGCTCGAGTATGTCTCACTTTGACAAGGTAATTTTGCCTCTCATTTATTGAGATTCATGTTTCTCTTTCCAGACCATTCCTCTCCCCACACCACGTGAGGAGGCATGCTCCTGCGTGCAGGGACCACGGAGGCTCTACAGCCCCTCCACGCACATGGCAGCTGCTTCAACCCCAGATACACATCCCTGCTTGGATCCTCAGGGAATCGAGAGCAACTTCCAGGCTGATTTCCACCCCATGCCCCCAGGTGACACCACACAACATCTTGGGGCACACGCTCCCCTCTGTGAACTGCCACCCCCTTTAGCCCTATCTACACTGCTGCTTGAACCGGTGCGACACGGACCCGAGCACAGCGGCACAGCCCGTTCCTGCGGCAGCCCCGTGCACTCCCCATATCCCAGTCTCCAACCCCATTATCCCAGTCCCTGTCCACCCTTGGCGGACCCTTCTCCCCATCACCGCCAGGCGGCGCCCTCCGCCTCGCCAAGCCACGCCCCCCCCAAGCCCCGCCCACAAGCGCAGCCGGTGAGGCTGCCATAGGAAGCGCTGGCCCCCGCCCGCCCGCTCCCCGTTCCCCGCCCCGCCGGCTGCCCTGACACCGCCCTCCCCGCTTCCCGCCCGCCCCGGAGCGGCTCCTCCCCGTTACGGTGCGGTCCCGACTGCCCCTCACGGGCCGGGCCGGGCCGGGCCGGTTCGGTTCCCCGGCCTCCTCTCACCTCACGCCTCGGGGTTGCGCGCCCGGGAGCGTGCGTGCGTGCGCGTGGACGTGCGTGCGTGCGTGCGTGCGTGCGTGCGTGCGCGCGCGGCGCCGGCCCCTTCCCGCCCAGCCCCTCCCTGCTGAGGGGAGCTGAGGCGGGCGAGGGGCGCTGAGGCGGAGGGGAGCGGTGCGGGAGGAAGAGGAGGAAGAGGAGGCCGGGGCTCCCCCCGCTGTGCTGCAGGTATACCTGGGAAGAGTTTAACTCCTTCCTGTAGCAGTTAATGATGGTCCCTGCCCATCGGGTTTTTGTGGGTTCATTCACCCGTCAAGTTTCTGAGGTAGTGAAAGGCAAATCCTGGCTGGGTGTCAGTTGAGAAGGGCTTGTAGGGGTAGGACAAGGGGGAATGGGTTAAACTGCCAGAGTTTTGGATTAATATTTAGATTATTTAGGTCTTAGAATCATAGGAAAGGACCTTAAGATCATCCCGTTCCATCCCCCTGCCATGGTCAGGGACACCTCATGCTAAATCATCTCACCCAAGGCTCTGTCATATGTGGCCTTGAACACCACCAGGAATGGAGCATTCACAACTTCCCTGGGCAACCCATTCCAGTGCCTCACCACCATAACAGGAAAGAATTTCCTCCTTATATCCAATCTAAACTTCCCCTGTTTAAGTTTTAACCTGTTTCCCCTTGTCCTATCACTACAGTCCCTAATGAAGAGTCCCTCCCCAACATCCCTATAGGCCCCCTTCAGATACTGGAAGGCTGCTATGAGGTCTCCACGCAGCCTCCTCTTCAGGCTGAACAGCCCCGACTTTCTCAGCCTGTCTTCATACAGGAGGTGCTCCAGTCCCTGCTCATCCTCGTGGCCTCCTCTGGACTTGTTCCAACAGTTCCATGTCCTTTTTATGTTGAGGACCCCAGAACTGCACACAATGCTCCAGGTGAGGTCTCACAAGAGCAGAGTAGAGGGGCAAGATCACCTCCATGACCTGCTGGTCACGCTCCTTTTGATGCAGCCCAGGATATGGTTGCTTTCTGGGCTGCGAGCTCACACTGAAGCTGGTTCATGTTCCTTTTCTCATCAGCCAATACCCCCAAGTCCTTCTCCTTGGGCTGCTCTGAATCTCTTCTCTGCCCAACCTGTAGCTGTGCCTGGGATTGCCCCGACCCAGGTGTAGGACCTTGCACTTGGCATGGTTAAACTTCATGAGGTTGGCATCAGCCCAGCTCACAAGCGTGTCAAGGTCCCTCTGGATGGCATTCCTTCCCTCCAGGGTATCAACCGAGCCACACAGCTTGGTGTCATGGGCAAACTTGCTGAGGGCGTTCTCAATCCCACTGTCCATGTCAGTGACGAAGATGTTAAACAAGACTGGTCCCAACACCGATCCCTGAGGGACACCACTCGTTACTGGTCTCCAGCCGGACACTGAGCCATTGACCACAACTCTTTGTGTGCAGCCATCCAGCCAGTTCTTTATCCACCGAGTGGTCCATCCATCAAATTGATGTCTCTCCAATTTAGACACAAGGATGTCGTGTGGGACAGTGTTGAACGCTTTGCACAAGTCCAGGTAGATGACATCAACTGCCTACCCCTGTCCATCAGTTCTGTAGCTTCATCATAGAAGGCCACCAAATTAGGCAGGATTTCCCCTTAGGCAGAAGCTCTTCCCTGTGAGGGTGCTGAGGCACTGGCACAGGGTGCCCAGAGAAGCTGTGGCTGCCCCATCCCTGGCAGTGCTCAAGGCCAGGTTGGACACAGGGGCTTGGAGCAAGCTGCTCTAGTGGAAGGTGTCCCTGCCTGTGGCAGGGATTGGAGCTGGATGAGTTTAAGGTCCCTTCCAACACAGACCAGTCTGAGATTCCATGATTCCCTGCCTGCAGGCAGGCATCATGACATATCCTGGCTGTTTCCCATGTGCACTGTGGGTGTCCTTATGGACTAGGTGAACAAAGTAGGCTCCCACTTGTTAAGAACATCCAGCCAGAGGGATCTGACCAGGGCTTAACAAGTCTTGCATTGCATAAGACACCAGAGCTCACAAATGATTTAGCTAGTTGCTTTGTTTAAAATAGTTGTTTTCACATCAGACAGCCTGCGCACCAAACCCTGTGCAGTGGCTGTACACATCCTGTGGTATCTCATCATCTCTGTGGTAGCCCTGTGTGCTGTATTGTGGTGGACATGGTACATTTTTACTGGTGCAATTGTAACAGCAGTGCCAACAGTGAAAATGCAGTTTAATGAAGATATTAAGTAGATTCGATGTATGGTTTTGGTGCCCTGGTGCTGGGAAAGGTAAGTGGTATTCCATGTATTTCAAATACTTGCTTACACTTAGGGACTGTTCTTGCAGTAAACTCAACCTGCCCAGGTTGTGTCAAACCCACATAGCACAGTGACCCCATACTTTTCCCACAGAAACCTCCTGTCATTACCATTTCTGTGCAACATTTTTTATGCTATTGTGAGAAAATGAGTAATTTTGTGTGAAATTATTGTGGTGCCCCGCAGAGCATGGATAATGTTGATTCAGATGAACAGGATCTGCATCACTCTGTGGAAGTGGTACACTGTTCACCGAGAGGCTCAGAGGCTGCTGCTATTCATTTATGCAGATTCTGGGAACTTGATGAGAGCTGTTCTCTGTAGCAGACAGATGTGGCCTTTGGCAGTTCATGTCTGAGTGCTGACAACTGTATTAGATAGAAGTACCTTGCAAATAGATGAGAAATACATTTTCTATCAGCACATGGAAATGTGATGCACCCCCTCAGACTGAGAGAAGGGCTGAAGCTCAACAGTTAACATCTGCATTATTCTTGTTGAGGCTGGAGAAGGAGGTCTGCTATTTGTAAGATGAGTTTGCTACATGTATGCTCGTTGTCTGAACTATTTCACAGCAAGATTAAAAATCCTGGAAATTATGCGTGTGAAAAATTATGGGGAAAAATTAAGAATCTGGAAGAGGCAGGGTTTGAAATGGCAATAAAATATTTATTGATTATTCTTATTCATAGAGTCTAACAGCAGTGTTGGCATTCTTCAGGTCTGGGGGTTAGTGGTGCGACATCTTCTGGTTGGACTGAAGGGAAGTTAGCAGCACGCCTGGTATCTCCTGGAGGGAGCAATAACAAAGTCTTTTGCCTTATGTCTGTTCAACTGATTTCCAGCTTAGCAGAGGCCCAAACGTGTTACCACCTGGTCAGTGTTCAGTGGCTTATGTGAAATAGCTCTGAAGGGCCTCAGTTCAATTTCTCAGCCTCTCACTACAGCACGTTTTTCACTACAGTTACACTCTGAGAAGATCTGAATGGATAATTTGTAATGAATAATGTGCCTTTTTCTCCTCAGAAGTTCTAACAAATGAGGTGATTTTCATTTGCTGTTTGAAATTATTTACTGCTAATTTCTGCAAGTTGAATGCTCTCAAGCAGTTTGTTCTGTATGTGTGATATGCAGAAGGCTTCTTGTCTGTCAGCAGGGCTGAGCAATCTGGCCTCACTATAGGGCAGTTGTTAGAGCTGGGTGACAGACAAGTAACTGGATAAGCTGAAGTGACTTGATCCCAAGTCTCAGTGAAAGGTGGGAGTAAAGTATAGCTGTTCAACCTCAGCAGTTCACTTAATGGATAGGAAGAACAAGATTGTATAACTTCTTTATGAAAATGCACCTTAATAATTCAGGGATGTGTAATTTTTTGAGGGGGAAGGGATAGGTCTATCTTCAAGCCCAGTAACTTGAACCTAAAGCCAGGTTACTCTGGGAAGAGCAGTATGGGTTAGCCTATCCCCATACATCCTCCCCACGCTGATGGTCCCAGCTTCCCTTCTGTCTCATTTAGCTCCCTTCCACCTCTGCTTGTGACCATGGGCATGATGATGGCACATTCTGCAGGTGCTGTTTGCGCAGCATGGGGATGGCTGAGCCCACCCAGCTTCCACCAGGGACTGGTTTAGCTGTCTCCTTACTACATAATCACTTGGAAATTACTTCACTTGGAAACAGCTTGCATTGAGGCCTGCTATCCCTCAGTCAGATTTGTTTGACCATGACCAGCAGTACCTGGGGAAGGAGAGTCAGGCAAAAGTTTCCAGTGCCGCCTTTTCTATCATACATGGAGTTAAAAGCTGTGCTGTTTGGCCATATGCTGGAACGTGGCCTGCAGGCTGTCTTTTGTAGATGCTGATGCCCTTGATCCACGAGCACTGGGGGAAGGAAGCAAAAGCAGTTAGGGGTCTGTAGGTTATGGTGGGGAATATGGGGAATACCAGCTGTTCAGAACTAAAACAGCACTTGTTTCTGGAGGGGCCATGGTGATGCTACTGGATTTTTAGGCATTAAAGTAATACGGCTTTATGGGAGGAAGTTGGCATATTGCAACCCCTGGTGTGTTTTGTTCTCAGTATCTCCTTCTTATATATACACCCTCCACCATCATGCTTAAATAGTTCATCCTGCAGCCTAGAAGATGAGAGAGGGTGACCTGTCCTTTGAGCACGGGCATCTGCTGGCCATCTGCGAGAGGTAATCCTGATGCCTGAAGAAGTACAGTTTAGAGGTGGAAGACTTTCTAAGGACTCAGCTCATCAGTCATGCTTACAAGGTTGTATTCTGGATGAGCGTGAGGGACTAAAATGAGAAGCTGTTGTGTTCAGAAACTTACCGAGCAGGGAATTTTGCATATAGCCACCACTATATAGCACATTGCAAAGGCTATTAGGATACCAGCAATGAACACTTTGAGGATGATACTAAGTTTCTGTCTGTTCAGCATATCTTTGTCATCTGTGGGTGGAATTCCATCTAAAATGAGAGTGAGAAGAGTATTTCAGGTGTGTTTACAAGTCTTTGACAGCTCAAAGTTTTCTTCATTTTGGTTGGGCTGGGCTAAGTTGGGTGGACCTGAGCAGAGGAACAGTTCAGAGCCTCCCATAGGCTTTCACAGGAAGCTCTAAATCTCTTTATAATCTCAGAAACTTTTTACCTTAAATTACTTCAAATATCTTTGAGTTCCTGCTGAAAAGGGTGTGCAAGCCCAGCCACAGTGGTAAGGCTTGTAACTTCCCACTGAAGCCCAGTGAGGTTTTTAAGGGAAGCTGGGAGCCCTTGTGGAGCACAGTTGGACACAGGTAACTTCTTGTGAAGGTCAGGGCTGAAATGCTGTTCTCTCATTACAGCCATGGACTGACAAAGTGCCAGGGACTGTTGGGTCTCTTGGGAGAGGCAATACAGCTATTCACAGAAACGGTTCTGCGGGAGAACTTCACCAAAGCTGTGTGTGTGAAAGCTCTGTCTTTCCCTACCCTTACACTGCCCCTGTGCTGCTTGCATGACTGCAGGGAGCAGTGGTACTTACCATGCAAAGTATGGTTTCTGCGGTGCATCTTCGGGACAGCCAAACCCTCTGCAGAAACTTTCGTCTTGGGCAGTTTTGCTGTTACAACACAATCTGACATCCCTTCCAGAAACACTGGGAGCAAAAAGAAGGTTAAAAGCAGATGTTTGCTTCTGTGTAAAGGGAAGAGCCAGGAGCAGCTGAAGTGCACGCTGACACAGCTGGCAATTTGCAGTGAAGTGCTAGAGATAGTTTTCTTGCTTGTATGCAGTTTCCAATGTACAGAATTTCCTACAGGTATTAATACTGGAGACTCTATTTGCCAAAACGTCCTGGCCTTCCCAAAGGAAGTGAGAACAGCAGCACAGAATTGTCCCAAACCCTGAAGCTTTCAGTAATGTTAATTCTGGGTCCTTACTTTCTACTTAATAGAGAGATACAAATAGGTTTGTTGTCTAAAATAACTGCTGAGGAATCAGCTGTATGAAATAGGACACTGCCATCCTCTGACATACCTAAACTTCTCTTTGTTATATTGAATTTCCTACCTTTTTCTCTAATGATAAGTTTGTTTGGAAACATCTTCCTGTGCTGTGTTTGTGAAACACACATATGGCCGGTGACAGGTTTCCCATCTGCATTGCTGAAGTTGTTCAGGCCGTGTAGGATTTGCTTCTCTACTGTCCAGTCTGTCACATATCTACTCATGTTCTTCAAGTACAGCACATCTACTTGCACGGGGCTTTGATGACTGAAGCATTCCAGAGTCATCACTTTTTGGGTTCTTTTTAACTTCCTCTTGGTTGCTGCTATGTCAGGGGCTGGAAAAGGATAAGAAACATTAGAAATGGCTTCTCTTAAATTATTTGCAATTCTTCTCACAAAAGGTTCAGGCCAGCCCAGTTTGATGAGGTCGCTATAAGGGTCTCTTTGAGTTGGTTTTCTTTCAGCAAAACAGAGCTAAAATTTTGCATGATCTTTTACATGCTTTTTGGTCAGGTGGCTGAGGAGTAGCTGAGACAGAGGAAAACAATAACCACACAGTGCAGAGCCCTCACAGCTTTCCTCTCCCAGTGGCTCTTTACCTTGCAGGAAGATCTTCAGGCTCTTTACTCTGCCAGCTATGTCTGAGGCATTTTCCACATGACATTTGTAGCCTCTGAGGTCTGAGGGAATGAAGCAAGGACCATTTTTACTAACAATGCAGGGTTAAGTCACTACTCCCCTGTTTTAGTAACTACTTTTAAATGTTAACCTTTTGCTGACAGCAAAAGTGCAGAATTTGAGGTGAGGGTGTAAGGATTAAAGACACAGTTCAGAATATGGTAGAGGAAAAATTAAATTACAAAGGTAGATTTATTCCTAATACTGTATAAGGAAGTCTCTTAATCCTTAGTTTAATTCAGTTAGAACTTGCAAGTATGTGACCCACTCACCTTCTCTGCTGAGATTGTTGACCGCAAACACTAAGCTAAATATTAATATTATGAACATAATTATATCTCTTCTTGATAATCTTGAAGCCCTTTTTATCTTTACTGCTTCCTTTGAGTAACGTTGTAAGCTGTTTAAGCAGATACTGAGCGATTAGGAGAGATCCCGAACCTCTCTGTTATCATGCGTCTTTAACCTGGTCAACATATGGAGAGTTTGAAGTTAGAGCCTGAACTCACTGTAGATGGTTCTACAGAAAAAATGTGAAATTTGGTAAAAAATGTACCTGAAAATCTTCTCTGTGGGTCAGATTTCCTTTCAGTAGGTACGTCACAGGTTCACTCTGGTCCTGAGTCCCAGAATTAAGCACTGAAATGGGTGAAACAGGGAAAAGTAGTGTGCCACGGGAGAGAGCCCTGAGACACACTGGGGTCCTGGTACAGGCCACTGGTTGCCATGGGACTGAGCTCCTTCTAGAATGGGGCCCCCATGGCAACGCCCCATTGTTGAAAGGCAAACAGAACCCTTACCTAAAGCCTTTTCCCTCAAGGAGAGGGACCTCAGCAGCCTCTCCTGGCCCTCAACACCCGTGGGCCTTGCTGCACAAGCCTGGCTCAATACACCGTGCCACTGGGCACAGTAAAACCAGCACCACCTCAGCCAGCATCACCTGCCCTCACAGGTCTTTTGGCACTGGCAGGGATTTCCACTGCAGTGGTCATGCCAAGCAGGCTGGTCCCAGGCCATTTCCTGCTTTTCAGATTGTTAATAAAGCCTAAAAGTGCTTAGGAAGTGGAGGGAGCCTGTGTTTACTTGCTGGCCCTGGTGCTGGTGTGTGCTGGGTGTGCTGCTGGGTGTAGCTGTGGGGGCATAAATAGCTGTGCATAAGTACAGAAATAAATACAGAAACAAATCAGGCTACTGCCTGCAGGTTTAATCAGAAAGTCTTGGTGAGATTCCTTTAGGCTGTTGTGCGGATGGTTTTTGGAGGATGGGCATTTTCTGTTTTAGACAGAAGGTGGCGATGGAAATCACTTTTTCCTTCAAAGCCTCCGCTTTTAAAATGCTGATTAACCACAGGTTTATGGCCCCCATCACGGAAGGATAGAATTTTGCAGTCCAATCGTCTAAAATAACCCCTGACATTCCAAAATGTGACTGGTACTCGAGAGACTCAAGAAGTATTGGCAGTGTTTAAGATGTTTCAGTTTCAAAAGAGAGCAAATGAAGTGGCAAGGGCTTGCATGTCAATATTTATTTTGCATGCCTATTAAGTTTAGCTATTCATGATGGGTAAGGATGGATTTTAGTATAAATATTTAATATTTACAATCTATCAGGTGCTATAAAACCAGATTCTCTTTGCACTTTTGCAGGATTTTCATTTGAGTGTATTCAGCTGCTTTAGTTCAATGTGATTTTTTCAGTGAAAACTGAAAAGCCGGTAGTAGAATAGGAAGAAAAACCCCCAAACCACTATGGTAAAGCTGTGAAAAGATAAGATAGTTTGAGAATCTCACATGGGCTGACTCGTGAGGTGCATGTGGTCTGCTCCATACCTGGCAGGGCTTCCCGATAAACTGGCCCTTGTATTTGATTGTGTCGGTGTTTTGCTGAAGTGCTGTGCTTGTTTATTACTGGCAGCCACTTACTATAAACTGCAGCCTGACGCCAAGCACAAGGAAGGAATGTAAAGAAACCATTCCCCATCTTCCCGTGTAAATAAACAAGGTTTTAACTCTTCCTGACACCGTCCTCCCCTCGAGTGTAGTACAATGAATATGTAGCAGCAAAGCGACACATTTACATGCTCACTCGGCTGAACGCATCTTTTGTTTAGGAAATAGCATATTAATGCAGAATCAAACAAAAGTGGTTGCTCACATTTCTCTGCCTGTGAAATGCAGTTCATGGATCTCCAAGGATCCTATTAGGATCGTTTATAGAGGAAGATTTTGTCTTCTCAGTGTGTTCTCGCTCAGCTGATCAGAAACATCTTTAAAAATGAAAGTTTGGATAAGACACTTCTGTGTCCTCTTTTTAAGGATATTTTCGTACTTGCAAATTCTTATGCAACTTCAGATGGAAATCATTTGGAATCAAAAAACTACTGGAAAGAGAATTAGATTATGAATCATTTCAAACAATTAAATATTTCTTTTGAATGTGATTAACCAATACCTTCACTAAATGTTCACCATCCCATCTACAGTGCTCAGTCTTGCTTTCCAGTTAGTTCTGCTGTTCACTTCCTGGGCTGGGAATGCCGAGACAATCCTAACACCAGTTTTACAGGATGATTTAGGGCACTTCCTGAAGCTGTAAGGAAACTTGGGACCAGTAAGAGCACATCTCGTGCCTGGGTTAGTGATGGCGGCTAACCTACCAGCTGGGGAGAGCGGGGTGTTTTGTTAGTGATTATCCTTGAAAACAGGCAGATATTGTCAGCGTTGTGGGGATTAACATTTCATTCCTAATGTTTAAAACCTTCTGGAACATTTTCTAAGCAGCTAAAGCAGGATTTTGCTTTAAAACATGCCCTGACCTTTCTCTCCTTTACTTGTTTGCCAGGACTTGAGGTGTGCCAGGATGGATGTCGTCACTCACCCCCCAAACCTGGGATGATCTTTCCTGTGTTTGCACTGGGGATGTTATCAGAGCTGAGAAGAGACCTGGAGCCCTAACTTGGCATCATAAAAGGTACTAACGTTTCCCCTGTATTTGTTTGGCAATGATTTTCTTGCATTATTGAGGCTACACTTGCTTTTTCTGAGATGCGTGGGTGGGTGTTGGGGTTGCACACATGAACAGTGCCTGTGCTCATAACTCATGCAATAGGAGTAAATAATGTCTGTAGTGTGCCTAGTTTATGAGCTTAACAGAAACAGGACCAAGCAGAAATGCGTTTACAATTCATAACGTGATAAAACTGTGGGAAAGTATGGCTGAAGTTTGTAAACAGTCTGTCTGTATTAAACCACAGATCAGTGTGAGGCTTAAACACTTTTTAACTAGTCCTTTGTAGCTATGCTTTTACTTGCTTACGTAGAATTCACATCCTGGAGTATTTTGGGATCCATTCCCTACTGTACATATACAGGCTTTTAACAACCAGCCTTCAGAATGATGGGTGGTAGTTACAGTGGTGAATGAAGTGCTGCTCTGAGGCCATCAGAGCTGAGCATGGCCTGGGGCTGCCTAATTTCAAAATCACCTTCCAAGTCCCTGCTTTATTTTTAAGGTTAATGTATTTGATTTGCTCTTTTTCCTGTTTTCTCTTTGCCCTTTGAATTGGGAGAGTTGCTACAGGATTTAATTACATGGAGCAATCACTCCTCCAGCAGTATTTGAACAGTGTTTATTAAGTGAATGGGTGAGATGGGCAGGTTTTAGCATGACCAGGGTACTCAGAGCACTAGACAGGTTGAACCAAGCACCTGTTGTAATCTCTGGTTTTGTAAGTTCTGTATGTAGCTATTATCAGTGATTTAGGACATGATCCCTCGGTGTGCCAAGTACTCCCCCTCGCTTCTGCAGGGACTGAGCACAGTGGATGATTAACACCAAGTAGCCTTTAGGTCCTTCATAAAAATACTTAAATAGAGGAGGACTTGTTTAAGTAAAAGACACATCTACAGAGGCATAAATTAAAGTATCAATGCCCAGAACAATCCTCCAGGTTCAGTCCAGGTGGAGGGGAGAGCACAGTCTGTTCCCCCACATAGTATGATTAACCACAAAGCCCCCGATCAGGTTTTCTGGATGTGGAGTACTTGTGCAGTGGGCACAGACCCCACCATGTGCTCCAGTCAGTGTTTCCTGGGGGAGTAGTTCTTGCTTATCCTGGAACCACTGATTTGGCCTTAAAACACATTTTAAGAAGAAAATACCCAGAGTTTTAAACTGAAGTGGGTGTCTGAGGAGTTTGCTGTTCCGTTACCACTCCTGCTGCTGCTGTGAGCTCTGAGCAGCGTCCTGGAGCAGTCCTCAGGCTGGGGTGTGCTCTCAGGGGTATCCTCTCAAACCTGGCAGGGGTAAAGAGCCGAGCACGTGTATAAACGATACAAGAAACCCCTGTTTCCCCATGAAGCAGAGGAAGGCACAGCAAGGGACGGCTGTTCTTTCTGTCCCTCTGAGCACGGCAGGAAGGCAGCATGGCACTGAGCCCTGCCAGAACATGGGATAGAGCCCGAAGCTGCTTGTGTGGGTGCTCAACAGCACCCCTGGCAGCACTGCCGATCGCAGCAGGAGGCTCTGCCTGCGCAGGGAGCAGGTCCGGCAGCATCAGGAATTAAACTTGAGTCTTTGGTGTGGATTTCAGGAGCCGGGCAGTGCGGCCATCTTGAAATGAAACTTAACAATCGCTGCCCATCCGCACAGCGATGGCTGCAGGTCAAACAACAGGCAGGGAACACGCGGGCAGCGCCTGGCCTGCTTCCCAGCCGCCTAGCACGTGTATCTATCTGCCCGGTGTCCGGGCCGGTGTTCCCGCTCCACGTGGGTCCTCCCCGCCGGGCGGTGCAGAGCCGGGGGCGAGGGGGGATCTGCTGCTCGGTGTCCGGTCCAGGGCCCCGTTATCAGCCCTGTTGCTTGCCGGTGGTGCGGCCCACAGCGGTTTGGGGACCGGGAGCGGTGTGGGGAGCCCCGGGGGTCCCGCGAAAACAGAGACCGGGCGGGGGTGGGAGACCTCTGGTGCGTACAGGCCAGCCCGGCCACCGGCACCCCCCCCCCAGCACCGGGAGCCAGTGGGCGGGCCCAACCGGCCGCTCAGGCCATAGGCGTCTCCTCATTGGCCACGCCCGCACGCGCCGCCTGATTGGTCACGCCCCCCGCAGTGTTCCCTCCGGCAGCCAATGGGAGCGGCGCAGGCGGGGCAAGGTTGGAGGTGTCTGACCTGAGGTGACTCCATGCATCACACCACCGCGGGGGCGTGGCCGGACGAGGGGGGGCGTGGCCTGTATAAAGGGGCGTGGCCTGGCGGTGGATGGGGGCGCCGCTCCGCGCCCCCGCCCGCTCCACCGCCCAGCCGCCAGGTCGGGGGCCCGCCGCGCCTCCGCAGCGCCCGGCACGCTGAGGTGAGCACCGCGGCCCGCTCCGCCGGGACCCCGCGCTGGAGGACCGGGAGGCACCGGTCACCGGCGTCCCGCCGGGCGGTGCTGCGTGAGCCCGTGGGGCTGGGCGGGGCCGGGCCCGGGGGAGCGCGGGATGATCCGCTCACGTTGTGCTGTGCTGAGGCGAGTCGCGCCGGCCGCTTTGTGCTGTCTGGAGGGCGCGGTGCTCGGGTCTGTAGGCTCTGCAGGGCGGCCTTAGGTCCTGGAAGGTGGGATGGGGGTATCCAGCAGCGGGGAAGCGGCGTGGAGCCGCGCCCGCCGACCGGAAGCCTGGTTCGTTTCCTCCTGGTGCCCCGCTGCTGCCCGTGGCCGCGCTGTGGCCCGGCCCCATCCCTCGTGGGGCTTCCCCGCTGCTCCAGCGCGAAACAACGCGGCATGAAGGCAGCATGGTTTTGGTTGTGGTTTTGTCTCCTGCGAGAGGGCTAATTCACCGCCAGACCAGCGTGGGGCCGGCGCTGCTCTGCCCGCTGAGGCATCGCTCCTCATCCCCGGCATCCTCCCATCCCTGATCGCATGTCAGGATCTCAAGGGAAGAGTTCGGGCCCGTTTCTTCGGGGGGCCTGGGAATGCCCTCCCGAAGGTGCTGCGGAGTGCTTAGGAACAATTAAGTTATAAAAGCGTATTTGCAGGGCAAAACATCGTTATTGTCACCTCTCCTTTTGTGGTGTCGCTTAAATCTGCCGGAGGAAGTTTTAAAATGGGTTATTAACCTTTTTTAACGTGGCGTATTTCAAAGTAATAGTGTGGTCTGTGCCAATTTATCTGTAGGTGATCAGCAAACTATTCGGGTTATGCCCGGTTCTCCCAGAGACAATGGGATTTACACATACTCTTGAGTGTCTTGACAGATTAGGATGGCTGTAAATATAGGTACTTTTGTGGTCTTCAAGTTTTTTTGGGGAGACATAGACATATTTACCTGATGAGACCTAGGAAGCATAAATTCCACTTGTATGTTTATGTGTCTAAGCTTGATACAGTAAACCTGGAAACAGAGTGGAACTTCTAACCTGTGGACATGCAGTTTGTGAAGTACCTTTTGATACATTGGAAGCAAAAGAGCTTCACAGGGTGCTTGGTACTTGCAGAGAATGTTTTAGGGTAGGGAGTGAAGCGAAGTGCAGTTATTAACTGAGAGGCACGGCCCGGGGGGAGCAGGGTTTGACCCATCAGCTGCACCAAACTGGTGCTGCAGGGAGCTGACCTGGTGGGACATGGGCAGGAGCAACCTGGGTTTGGTGTGTGGTGGTTCCTCTTGGTGCAAAACTCATCCCTGTGCCCATTCCCAACCTGGAGCCCTGCTTCCAGGTGATCAGTAAAAGCTGTTAAGTACTCAACTTGTTATGCAGATACATCGGTTTTTACTTTGTCTGTACCTTTGTTGGTCCTTTGCTTTCTGTTACTCATTCAGTTTGGGTGGTGAAAATACACATCCATTCTGTTGTTTTATATTTGTGTTCTTTAGCCCCCTAAGCTCAGTAGGGGCTGGGTTGAAGGCACAGATCCCTGGCCTGTAAACGGGAAACCTTGAAATAAAACCAGTTCTGTTAATTTCCTTTTCATATGACATATCATAGAGGTGCTATTCTGAGTCTTTGACAGAACCTATAGCTCGTTTTCACTGAAATAATGCCCTTTTCAATAGTATAATTATCTTCAGAATGGGATGGCTTGGAAATAGTAGAAGCTGAATTTCCAACTGACATTATTTTTGTGCCTTAATGTGTTGGGTAATAGTAAGAATGAGCTTAAAATGAAACTGTTAAAGAAACTTGCAAAGGCTGTCACTGTTCCCTGTCAGGCCAAACATTGTACTAATGATAGTAGAGCCTCAGGCAAAACCAGATACGTTACTGTTTGAATTTGGATTGCAGAGTTTTCATTGCTTGTAGCGTGAACGCCATTTGGGTCTTACACCACGATGCCAGCAAAGCTGGGGAGTTACGGAAGTGCTGGATGTCTTCAGACCTGTAACACGGGCTGATCCCTTCAGGAGGGAGGGCAGTACGGCTTGGGCTCTGTGTAGGTTCAGCTGTCATTAAACATATCTCTGTAGCTGAGCAGGGTCAGAGTGCTCAGTGTTACCTGCTCTTAAAACTGCAGGGTTGAATTCTCAATCCAAATCCTTCTGTAAATCACAGGGGTTTTTCCAGTCTCTCTGCAGAGTTAGCCTGTGTGCCAGCCTGTTGCCTGCAAAACTATGTCTAGGGGCTATGTTGAGGGTCCTGACTATTTGGGGTTTTAGGTTCTGGTTCATCATTATTAAAACAAAGAGTACATCCACACTGGTTAATGGTATGTGAGCCTTGTCTTGGTGGTCAGCTGAATTCAAGATGCGTGCTAGGAGCTGGGGCAGTTATGTCTCAGGCAGAGACTATAACGTGCAGAGGTTTGGTGAGGTGCAGCACTGAAAGCAAAAAGGCTTCTGTGAAGACATCTCTGAGAAAGTCTACATTTTGTTTAGCCCCAGACAATGCTGATATTAATTTAACTGTGAATAATGTGTGCTGAGAGCAAGCTTATGTCTAATTCAGAGCAGTGCTGAGTTCCCAGCTGATTGCAAAACGTTAGTGGGACTTCTGGCTTTTGGAGTGGGTTGGAAGTGTGTTGGTGAGTGAATTTGAATGGGCCTTCATGGATAACTAACTGCTTTTGAACAGAGTTGTACAAACAAGATGCTTGAGCAATACCGGGGCTCAGGAACTGTGGTGTTAGTTTGGTGCTTTCTGCTGGAGTATTGGAGTGAAACACTTCACTGCCTCCTTCTCTGCTTAGCAAGGAGAAAACAAAGCCTCAAAACTTGTTTATTAACGTGTAAGTCCTTGATATGAGAAAAAGTTTTCATTCATTAAGAAAGCATTGAAGCTGCTTTGGCTGTATCCCAGGTTCTTCAGCACTGGTAGCTGTGCCAGCAGTAAATTGTCTGAATGTGATTTGATGCCAGGCTAAATAAACATATAAATATTGTCTCCAGGTTTATATGCACAAACTAGATTGGATTACACTCAGTGCTATCTGAGCTGCAAGTCCTGCCCAAGCACCTCAGCTAAAGAAATCTTCCTGTATGGTTTAGTTTATGCATCGGTTTTAGTTTATGCATCGATTTAGTCACTGATGGGTATGTGGGCTTTGCAGCCACGCTTCCCCTTCATATCCATTGCCACCCTATCGGTGACCCTTTCAGACAGATATTTGTGGCATTTTGGTCACAAAATGATCAAGTGTGTCTGTAAAATGAACCACCTGTGGCCGCAGTGAAACTGGAGTTTGTGGGAGTAATGATGTCAACACAAGTTGGGGTGTACATAGTTCAGGCAAGTACATTCATGGTAAAAGTGCATGAGCCAGTTGGATCAGTTTCTCATTCTCAGTGATGAAAAGAAAGAGCACCGTGTTTAAGGATTGCACTGCCTGTAAATTCCTTGTCTGTGCTCTAATTAAAGCTACTGTCATGTCTTACTTGTGTTATAACATGGTTCAGTTTTGCTTGTGTACCAGATGAAAGCTGTCATGTTCCTATCAAGCATACCATGCTGCATCCCTGTACTTGGCATAACATGGCTATCATTAGCAAGGACTGATGAGGTTTTTGTGTCGGTTTAGGATGTAGATGTCACTTGGGAGTTAAGGGCATCAAAAGAGTCCTTCTGCATAGTGAAGTCCATCTTGGGAGAATGGGACCCTGAAGTGAATATCCCCTCATCTTGCCCTTGTCTGTGTTGCTGTATCATGGTTTGTTTTACTGGTGAACTAGTGTCAGCTGTGTCTTCTTGTCACCAATTCCTCATGAGATTTCTAATTATCAGGGTTTACTCCTGACCATCCAATGCAGCTGAAGGCAGTAGCACATTCAGAAGCTGACAGAGGAAAAGATTGACATAAGTAGACAGCACTGGCAGAAAGCATAGTTTCTTCTAGAAGCAGAACTAAAATACACATGGGATGATGAGGTGTGTGCCAACACCTTGCTCAGAAGGTGCCAGAGAGACTTGACTGGCAGGCTCAGTTCCTTGGTACTCTGTGACCTGGAGCAAGCCCATCAAGTCAGTTTGGTACCTGTGGCTTTTTAATAACAGCTTTTTGTTCCAAGATTCAGGTAGTTTGGAAAACACAGAGAATTCTTCTTTATAATAACATGTGCTTGTTAATTCTTTTATTTTCCAGTTCGTTTTGGAAGTGGATAACTGCTCAGCTGGCAAGGATAACAAGAGGTTGGTGCACACCTGATCTTATAATGCTGTGATTTCCAGCTGCATGTAATTACCGTGTAAGTGCCTGGAAGCCTGGCAGAGCAGGGCTATCAGAGCTGTCCCATCCCACCTGTCTGTATGCTGTGAGGTACTCCTTTGGTTTCTCTATCTGTCATTTCTCAGTTGTAATTATTCTATTCTTTTTTAACTTTGAAGAAAACACATTCATTCCC